TCAGATTCAATACAAACCAATACAGTAATAACACGATTAATAATTAAGTGACATCATTATTATTATCGCGATAGAAACGTGGCATATAGTGCATGTACGAACCAAATAAACATTACTTTAATTTGGTTTAACCTAAAATGATTTGTTGAGCATAAAAAAGGTTGAACTTACGATCGATAAGTACGTAACCAAAAAAGATTAGAATATTAGCATGATTCATAGTGATAGTAGTTTATTTACATTCATTATATGCAGTATATGCAGCATATAGCATATGCAGCATATATATAGCATTTATAGAAAATGCAAGCAAGAGTATAGAAAGAGTATAGCATGAGTGTAACGCAAAACTGCTTATAATAGAATTTATCTAACCATATTAATACACCGATTACTAAATACGGAAGTAAAGACATTATCACGAGAACTTTGAACGTCCGAAGCAATTTTATTCAGCCGAAACAGAAGTGGAGTTTGTCGTTCTCGTGTTACACAAATCGCCATGCCGTTCGCAAGTGATACGCAATGATACGCAGTGATACGCAGAGCTAAATGATTAAGTGAAACATTGTAACACATACTTTTTGCACCCCCATGAATATGTTAATATGTTAACTATGGAGACACGTACGTATGTAATTTTTAGATGGCGTCTGCATTTCTCCAAACTAGCCTATTCGCATATATGCATGGCGGTTTTCGTGACATGATGGATTGGTATTTATTCTTTTGGGATAAAGTTTTTTTACACCTAATCATACAAAATCATACAAAATCATACAAAACCATACAAATTTAGATGGTACAAATCGTGAATTGGCAGTTTGTAACTAGAATTTAATTGGAAAAATTTTTTTTTTACATATTTTACTTTGTTATATGATGAAAAAAAGTCCGCTGGACAAATATATTTGATGGTGTGACGGGTACTCAATGACGCATGTATGTACGTACGTACGTACGTACGTACATGAGTACGTAATCTGATTTCACAAGAGTACGAATGAAACCAGAATAAGGGAATAATGCAAAAGAGAACGACCATTAAAGCTATTATATATGTGCAGCACAACTTGGTATTAATAAACATGACGGTTATAAGAATACCATGCATTTATATTTGAGTCAACTATTCATATACGTACGTACGTACGTACAGTACGTACTGTACGTACAGTACGTAAGCAGTTCGCGTATGCAATTCGCATGATAACCGAAATGATATGCATTGATAAACCTAGAACAGTAACAATGATACGTAACAAATTAAAAAAAAGAAACCTTTGTTTGTATAATAGCATGAATTATAAAGGTTACGAAAAGGGCATTACCTTTACGAAAATGTATTGGCGCATATTTTCTTGGAAATACACACGTTGAAAAAAACTATATAGATACAGTATATACATATATACATAGCACTAACCAATAATAATAATCAATGACGATAATAATACGATAATAATACAATAATAATACGATAATAATACAATAATAATACAATAATAATAGTGGTAGCATTTAAAGTATGCAATGTATATACATACTTATTTTTAATAGACATGATGAAAACGCATGATTTTTCAAAGTTATTACAATATTAATTAATGCATCAATTTTAATTTCAAGATAGCAAGAGGAATACATATACGTATTAAGATAAAGACATACCGTAAAGAGAACAATGAACGAAAAGAAAAAATATTGGTTAATAAGGTTAATAAGATTAATAAGATGATTAATAAGATTAATACGTAAGAGTAGAAATTAAATATGTACGTACAGTACATACGCGCAAACCCGCAAAAACAGATGAGATAACAGAGATTAGTGCTTTAAAGGGAAAGTTGATCGAATATCAAATATCAACATGTTTATTGACACAAGATCAATTTTTTATTTGATAAAAGTAAAGAGACTTTTCGAATTACTAATTTATTGAACTATATATTATAGTCAAGTTATTATATCTACTATATTTACTAGATTTACTATATCTACTGTATTTACTAGATTTACTATATCTACTATATTTACTATATCTACTGTATTTACTATATTTACTATATTTACTATATTTACTATATCTACTGTATTTACTATATTTACTATATTTACTATATCTATTATATTTACTATATCTATTATATATCTATTATATTACTATATTTACTATATTTATTATATTACTATATTTACTATATTTACTATATCTATTATATATCTATTATATTACTATATTTACTATATTTATTATATTACTATATTTACTATATTTATTATATCTACTATACCACTATATTTACTATATCTACTATTTACTATATTTACTAAAAAACAGCATAATTAGCGAAAGATTGAATTTCATCAATCCTTTTATTTTCCTTTTATTTTAATTCAA